CTGGTTGGCACGACAATACAGATCAATCGTTGACTTTTAAGAGGGTGAATTATATTAGTTTCATGAGCGAAAGAGAAAATGACAGTCTCCTGTGTTAGAAGGGTCTAGGAGAAAACCCAAGCGGATTACATCATGGAATCCTACTGAAAAAATCCGGATACATAAGCCAGATTTATACCGGATTTTGTCCACTTGATCTGCACGTGCTACTAGGGTGGTTAACTTCTGCATAATGCAGCAAAAGCTGAAGTATGTGATCGACATCTAGGTACTGGTATAATCATCGATAAACACATTTTGTCTGAGATCTCCTCCCTCCACTTTATGACCGACTGCTGCCCTGTCCTCCCCTTAAATTACACTTCACAGGCATTTGCTGTAACATTCATTGCCTTGCCCCCCCTTCCTGCCCTTCCCCCCCTCCTCTACTCCCTCACCATGCACCCACATCTAAGACTAATAGCTCCTATTCTATTTACCTATAAATTTTCCCCCTTCTAAATTGTTACTTAATTGGACAGTTAATTTACCTTATTAATAGGCAATGACGGTCTGCAGTTGAATAAGTGGACGCGAAATTATATGACGCTAATACATTGTGCTAGTCTCGTGATGTTTGCCTTGTTCGAAGAGCAAAACATTACAGTCGCCATAGAAAGTCAACGTTATCCCAAAGCCCCCTGTGTATGCCGCACATCCACCAACTCACGGCTAGGGCCGACCCTGTTGCTTTCCGTCCTCCAGTCAGAATACATTTATTTTGCCACTGCATGTGATAACCTGCTTTTGTCAATTGATTAAAAAAAACCTAAAATGACAGCCTGCGCATACCGCTTTTTCAGGCAGGGCATTCTGTCACGACAGAAGGCCGACCATTCCAGGTGGACCCCCTGCTATGTTATTTTAAGATATCCCAAGGATGTTGCAGCATCTTTTTTTCAGCTAATCGGTAGAAGGTATTATAGCGACATCTGGAAATCCCCGACATTTGATCTGTCATTTCTTCTCCGTGGCTATTTTTTGTGCAGTTCGCAATGTGATCACCAACAGCATATATTGAAACCTTCCCAATTTGTTTGGGATACGTATCAGATAAGCTGTG